TCCAGAGGTGCTTGTTGTTTCCTCTGGAGGCAGGGCACTCTTGCAGCATGCGGTGATGAGGAGAGAGCCAGGTTCAGATTCACCTGGATGACCGCATGGATAATCGCTCTCTTTCTTCCTGGCCCAGGCCTTTTTATCACCTCTCTGACCTCAGCAGCTGGTCCAATCGAAGCTGCCAATACTGGCTACAAACCGTCCAATCTGCATGGCATCCCTGGCTACCTGGGCCCGCGCGCAGGGCCGGGTCTTCCCCCCGCTGCCCAGGTGACCAGAGCATCGCCTCCCAGGCGCCAGGCTTTTGTCTGCAGACAAGGAGCGAGATCCCCGCTGTGAGAGATTCAACAGCAGCCTCTCGGGCTGGCTGAGACAGATCTCTGGAGAGGGGCACCGACGGGGGCATTTCTGCCACACCCAGCGTTATTTTACCCTTGGAAATGGACCCCGAGTGAAAAAAAAGACTTTTGGGTTTGAACTTTTCTTGGCGTTTCTTACAAAAAGGAGGAAATTCTCACCTGGGCTTTAAACAGCTGAATATTTTGGGGTTGGAGGCTAGGATAAAAGGGCAGGCACAAACTCTGCTGCTGAAGGTCCGGCGTATGTGACAAATGCAGCTGCCCCAGGAGCCCCGCTCCGATGGGCTTGTTCATAGCCGGGGCACCCGTCTCCCTCGTGGAAAAGACCGGGATTTTGCTGCGCGCTGAACATTTATGCCAACACCGTGGTTGCTGCTGCATGCAATACGCTCCACTTTACATGGTTAAACGCCATTTCAGCTTTTAGGGGGTTTGGGTAAGAACAGGGGCAGGAAACTCCTTTCCTTAGGGAGTCTCTGTGTGTCTTCTTTTACCGTCTGGAAGGCAGCAACACAAAGGAGTTACGCCTGGGATGTTTTATTTGCATTTTATGGGCCTTTGGACTTTACTGTCCTTAAACACCGAAACCTGCTCAGTGATCCCTGCCTCTCTCTCTTAGGTTAGGTGACAGGGTGGCTTTTCTTCTCCGCTACAGGTGGAGGATGCCTGGTGGTTAAAGTAGACGGGAGTAGAAGAGAACTAGGTTTTGTTCTCCCATTTACTCTGTATTTGCATGGGGCGAGGCCCTGAATATCCCCGTGCTCTCAGGGGGAGGGAGATGAATCCTTAACTTCTCTGTCTTGTTAGTTTAGATGGACCCTTGGGATGCGGGGATGGTTTCTAGCCCAATGGGGCACCGCTCAGAGTCGTATCAAAAGACAACTCAAACTAATCCATCTACCACACCGTGGTGTGTTTGCGTGTGTGTGTGGCTGGTTATTATTCTGGTGCACGATTTCTGCCTGGACTTCCAGCAGCTCTTTCAGGGGTGTTTCCTTTGTGCTGTTTTGTGAAGGGAGCTCAAAGATGAGAAAGGGAGGATTAGCAATTAAATATGCTCTGATGATAGTTTGGTTGTGAAGGAAGGAGGAGGGAAAATACTCCGTTGCGATAACATTTTGCTTTCTTCTCTCTCTCGCTTGTAGGACAAGATCTGCCAGGGGACCGGTGCTTTGAAATTGCTCGTGGCTCCGAATCCTCCATCCTTTGGGAATACAAATCTTGCTAACCATGTCGGCAGCCACGTGGAAATGGACTTGCCTGATTTCCCACCTCCTCCTGTCCACCATGACGTGGTCTTTTGCTAGGCAACAGCCGCCTCTCCCAAAGAGACCCTTCATCACCTTTACAGGTGAGCAGGCAGAGGGGACTTTTAACCACTTGGTGGTGGATGAAAAAACTGGACATATTTACTTGGGAGCCGTCAACAGGATCTACAAACTCTCCAGTGACCTGAAGGTCTTGGTGACGCACCAGACCGGTCCGGATGACGATAACCCCAAGTGTTATCCCCCTAGGATAGTCCAAACCTGCAATGAGCCCTTGACTCCCACCAACAACATCAACAAGATGCTCCTCATAGACTATAAGGAGAACAGGTTGATAGCCTGCGGAAGCCTTTACCAGGGGATCTGCAAGCTCTTGAGGCTGGATGACCTTTTCAAGTTGGGAGAGCCCTTCCACAAGAAGGAGCATTACCTCTCTGGGGTGAACGAGAGCGGCTCTGTTTTCGGAGTCATTGTTTCTTACAGCAACATGGACGACAAGCTGTTCATCGCCACCGCCGTGGATGGCAAGCCAGAGTACTTCCCCACCATCTCCAGCCGGAAGCTAACCAAGAACTCTGAGGCCGACGGGATGTTTGCCTACGTCTTTCACGACGAGTTTGTGGCCTCCATGATCAAGATCCCCTCGGACACGTTCACCATCATCCCTGACTTTGACATCTACTATATCTACGGCTTCAGCAGCGGCAACTTCGTCTACTTCCTGACCCTGCAGCCAGAGATGATCTCCCCGCCAGGCTCCACCACCAAGGAGCAGGTCTACACCTCCAAGCTGGTCCGGCTTTGCAAGGAGGACACAGCCTTTAATTCCTACGTCGAGGTGCCCATCGGCTGCGAAAAGAATGGGGTGGAGTACCGGCTGCTCCAGGCAGCCTACTTGTCCAAGGCGGGAACCATCTTGGCCAGGTCCTTGGGTGTCAGCAAAGATGCTGATATCCTCTTCACGGTCTTCACCAAGGGGCAGAAGAGGAAAATGAAGTCGCTGGATGAGTCTGCTCTCTGCATCTTTGTCCTGAAAAAGATCAACGACCGCATCAAGGAGAGGCTGCAGTCCTGCTACAGGGGAGAGGGGACGTTAGATCTGGCGTGGCTCAAAGTCAAGGACATTCCCTGTAGCAGCGCGGTAAGTCTCACATCTAGCCAGCCACGCTTAACTTCTCTGTGTGCTTATTTATGCCAGGAGCGTGGACCGCGTGGCGTAGCAATCGCAGCATGCAGCTAAGAGCGAGGGGGCTAGCAGGATCTGCTGGAACCCAGTCCTGTTTTGCCTCCAGCTCATCGTGCAACCCCACTGAACCTCTTCCTGCCTCAGTTTCCCCCCTTGTGAAAAGAGGAGAATATAGATTCCTTCTCTCCCAGGATTACCGTGCATATTCATGAATGAGTGTGTGGTGCTTTGCGATCTTCGGGGGGATCCTCCTGTTATGATTAGTCTACAATTTGACTTAGTGAAATTCTGACCTCTGCAAAGGACTAGCACGAGCCAGAATTGAATTGGTTCTCAAGTAACACATAATCCCCATTTCGTTTCCATTGTCTAAAGCTTTCAGACCCAGATCTTAATGACTGTTGGGTGTGAACTGTTTTTTTGAGCTTTGTAAAAAATGTGATTTGGTGCCTTCCGGGGATATGAGGCATTCACCATTAACCCATTGAAATCCCCAGTTGTCCTGTCCACATCCAAATCTGCATTGTTTCTGTTCTGCAAAAGTAAGGACTGGCTTGAGGAGCGAGGTTAGATCCTAAAAGATTTGAGGGGAGAATTCAGGAATGGCAGGGGTGCTCTCTGACCCCAAAAAAGGGCTTGTCCTATGTTGGCTTGGTGTAGTCTGCAAGCATGCAGAAGTACCCGGTGCCAGTCCAGGCAGCATGCTGCTGCCTTTTGATGGGCCATAGAGAAATCCTGGTTATGGCATGTGTTGCATTGGGCGGCCTGTAACAGTCAGATCCATGCTTTGATTTTCCTCCTTAATTAGCTCTTTCAAGCAAAAGGCGAGTTCAAGTGTGAGCAAAGGGAAAATGGAAAAATGCAGTTTTTCCACCCCCCTGCAAGCCAGTGCCCATGTGGGGACCCGATAGACAGCAGTGCCTTCACTCCTTCTGTGGCAGAGGAGTGTCATTTGACTTCATTTCCACTGGCCTGATGACCCCTTCCTCGGGCAGTGTTGAGGGGTCTGGGTATGGGCATGACTTCCCCAGGGCACTGCAGTGAGCATGAGAATTGAACCCCTCTGCATTGGATTTCTTCCACCCCATCCTGTGCTGATCCAAGCCAAAGGCAAAGCTCCCATTGCTTCCAGTGGGCCCAGAGTGATTTCTGGGTTTGATTTGCATTAGCCCCCAAGGCTCTGCTATTGCAAAGAGCTGCCTCGAGGTCCAGGGAAAGTGGTTTCCACTGGGGTGCCCTGGTCGCTGCGAGTCCCAGAGGTGACTATTCAAGCACAGCCAAATGGGCAGGGATTTGGAAGGGTGGCATGGACTAGTAGCTGGAGCAGGAGGCAGGGTTTGGGGCTGGGCAGGGGTTTCTGTCTCAATATTTTTGTGCTCCCATGTCTGTGCGCGTAGAGCGGGTCTTAGGCTCCCTCTGCTCAAGAAAGTGCTTTGCAATCCTTGCGGGATGGTCCTGATTTTGGCAATTGCCACCAAAGTTGAGTCACTCATCACTGCGTGAGCAGCCCTGTCGACGGCAAAGGAATTGCCAGCGGTAGCTTGAACGAGACGGGTGGAGCCCTGCCTCTTGGCTGGGAAGTGTGGTCCTTTGATGCACGGGGGTGGCTGCAAAGTTACTTCTTCATCTGGGAGTGATGAAGTTACTCCTTCATCTGGGAGAGACCTTGCAGTATGGCTGTTATCTCCACCGGTGATTTGCCCTGCTAGAGCCAGGCGCTGGCAGTGCTGCTCTCAGTGCTACAGACCCTCCTCGCTGAAGCCCCTGCTTGCACCAGTGCAGCTTCCCCTGGTTTTGAGCAGGTGTTAAATGCATCTCTGTTGGTGGAGGAAGGCTGAGTGGTGTCTATTAGGGGTCCTGGCCCCGTCTTGGTCTTGATGTTTGTGCTCTCCCATAGTGGCAGAGGGACCTTCTGATCTTCTTATATTAACTAATGACTCCCGTGCGGGTGCCTTGGCAGTGCCCTTGTCCCGCGGCTTCTCCCTGTGGCATGCTGTAGGGCGTTCTGGGTTCTTGAGTACTTTCCTTGTCATCGTGGGTGAGGGTTTAAAGTGGCGATTTTAAGATCGTAAGAATTGCCATTTAGTGAGTCCGACCGTAGGTCCATCCTGCCCAATCCTGTGTCGCACGGGAGCAGAGCGCCGATGCCAAAAGAGAGCGAACTGGCTACGATCCGGGTTTTTTCCACTGTTCCTCCCTCATTTGCAGCCTCCAGGATTTAAGGTCCAGGAAATTCTGAATCAAAGGCCGTGCCCCACGCTCCCACGCTCAATAGCTACAGGCCTAGCTTCTTTATATGGGAGCCCCTCTGTACTGCTAACCGTCCTTGTTGCCCTTCTCTCGTTCTTCTGTCTCCTTTTTGAGGACCCTTTGGGGCAACAGATGCTTGCAACTATGGAGGGCTGGATTCGTTGGCCTGGGAGGCCCCTGCCAGACCCATGCTCCTTTCCAAACCCCCCAGCAGTACCCCTGTGCTTCTGGGAGCTGTAGGTTCAGGCTATTGTACTATCATATAGGGTTTTTTTCCTAATGGGACAGCAAGGGATTTGCAGCAAATCTCAGGCTCCCACGCGTGGCACTGCAATAGACTGCAGCAGGTGCACACATACTAGCGTGGGAGGGGGAGCGCTGCACAGGCTGCAACCTGGTACCGGCTAGGGTACCAGCTGGGCTGAGCTTGTCAGGGCCGTGTCTCATGCTGTGCGAGCACATCTTGCCTCCTGCTCTCACCCTACGGCAGAAGATGCCGGGATCTTGAAGTGCTCTTATGGAGCGAGCCTGCTTTGCAGATCAGGTTGGAGGCGGAGGATCCATCCAGGCTTCTCGGGCGCGTGTGTGGGAGTGGAAGGGATGAGAGAAACCACAAGCAGTGCATTTGCAGCAGCCCTCCCCTAAAAAGTAGAGTTTTTTTCCAACTGGGGAAGGATGGAGGGAAGGTTCTCAGTGACTGCTTGCCCCTTGTCAGTAAACCACTGTTTAATGCTCAGCACAAATCAGGGAAGACATATCTGGTTTTATAACCACGCAGTTGCTTTCCAAACTGGTCTTATTTTGCTCATGTGATATAGATAAGCCCATCGGGGTTTCCCGTTTGCCAGCACCATGAGCATACGCGATGATGAGAGCTTGCATTAGAGGAGCATGTTGGACCCCAAGATGTTGAGGAGTTGCATCACCTGTCAGAGAGATGCAGTCACCTCCGCGGTGCAGCACAGCGCTTGGACACGGCCCACCGCATTGCTGCACAGTAGAGCTGGCCAGAGCTTTTCCACTGAAATGGGTTGGGAGAAGAATGGTATCCAGGTCGTAGTCATATTGATCTAGAGGAGAAAGCAGCCGGGGCTCACACTAGAGGCGATCTCTTTTGTTAGTCCAACAAGATTTTTGCAAAAAAAAAATTATTGAATTGCAAGCTTTCGGGCACAAACACCCTTTATCAGGCATCGGAGAAAAGATTGTAAAAGTCCTCTTGGGTAGAAATGAAAGTTCATATTTCAAGTGGGAGAAGAATGGCACCTTCCGGAAATGGAAGAATTTCTCAAGTTAATAGGGTTTTTTTTCAACATATTTTGGTTGTTACAATTGTATTAGTGGATGTTTAATCTTTTTTCTTAGAGGAACTACTGTCCCAATATCACTGAGATATCCCCCCTCTTGGCAAAGCCAGGTTTGCAGGATGCAGAGACTGGTTTCTTTTTTTTTTCAGTAAACAGGAAGTTTTGAAAACATTTGGGGAAAAAATAAAGCGAGCAACAATGTGGAATGCCCAAAAACCAGGGTCTTTCTTAAAGCGGTGAAAGGTTCACGTCATCTCAAATGATGTAAATATTGTCCAGTTTCCTGCCAAGGTTTGTAGGACGGGGAGTCAAGAAGGATCGCTTCTTCTTTGACTGTAGCCACAGGAGGGATGTGAGTCTATGGTGCTGCAGCTCTCGGGCTGGGAAGCCCCCTGTAATAACAGGTACGGGATGCACGTGTGGATGGGCATAGTGGACTCCTGCAGGTTTCAGACCCATCTGGTATCTCTGTCTTGGGTGCTTGTGGCCTCTACCCCTGTAGGACCCACGTGCCTCCTGTTCTTGAACGTATTTATCCTCATAACATTTCCCCTGGCAGGAGGTAGGGCAGTGCCATTCTCCCCATGGGAGAATGGAGATGCGGAGAGGCTGAATGTCTAATCCAGGCTACAATGACCCTCCCGAAAGCCAGACCGGTGTCCTCTCAGCTGTGCCAGCCTTCCTGTGATATGCAGGTATGTGGGATGTTGCTTTTGGAGGGGGGGAGGTGTCTTTGAGGATCCTCTTTGTCTGCCTTGCCGTCCATTCAAGTCTCAGCGGGTCACTCCTAAAGGGTCACCCAGCACCCCTCAGGGTAGACTTCTGCAAGGGAGGTGACCTGAAAGAGCCTCATCCCGTTTGGCAGCATAGGGTATCTTTAGGGGAACCTTTCCTCTTCCATTGGGGCTGGGAACAGGAGGGGGGTCTGCCATCCTGGGACATTAGGGGCAGATGCAATGCTTTCTGGGTGTTTCAGAAGACAGGCCTGGTGTAGCATGGAGCTGCTTGGGAGAAGGGAGCAGATATCCTTGACTGGGTGTTGGGTTGGGAAGGAAACCCTAAACGTCATGTCTGTAATGCAGCAGGTTCTCCCAGGTCAGCCCTTGCTGGTCCAGCGAGCAGAAGAGTAGGCTTAGCAACTCATCCCGCTCTCTGGTCTCGTTATCTCAGATCCAGGTCTTTTCATCCACCTGATTGGATTCCTCTTTTCGCAGGCCCCACTTTATGAACTGCTGCCTAACAAAGCCGAGTCCCTTAAATGAAAAGGTGTCACCTCTGTAGCTTCCAGCAGGATAATCTAGTGAAGTATCTGTCCAAGATAATCAAGCACCCGTCCCCAGCCATTGCCTGGCTTCTGCCTTTCATGTGTATTTCTTTTTTCTTTTGGCAGGAAATGGA